TTAGAGTGCCAGGCGAGAAATAAAAGTAACGCTCAAAAAATGCTGATGATTTTTCCCGAAGGTGGCGCTAAAAATGCCGAGCGCGATCTGGCGATTTTTAGGTTAAAATTTCGTAAAAATTGAATTTTCGATATTTCGACCAACGAAAATCGATGTATCGCATCTAGTAACTTTCGACTCAATGTTAATATATGGGTTAAAAGAATCCGAGTATCCTTTCGGTTGTTATGACAACTGTTCGATCATTACGAAACGTCCGGTCAGCCGGACGTTGGCACTTTTGGCTCGTTCTAAAAACGTCCGGTCGGCCGGACGTCGGCACTTTTGGCTCGTTTTAAAAACGTCCAGTTCCCTGGACGTTGGCACTCAGAGGGTTAAAACAAATATAGAAAAAAAATTATGACGCCATTTTAAATTACATTTTTTTGTAATTTCCCATGGTTGGATTTTGTCGGATTTTGGATATGTTATAAAGCAACATTTTCTGAGTTGAATACCACTTAAATCGCTTGTGAAGCAATTTTGCCCAGGTTTAAGGGTAATTTGTCTTAGTTTGACTGGACTATCATGACTATTTTCCATGTTGTGAAATTCTCAGTCCCTCTTAATTTTTCAATCTGTTTTTCATTACTCATCATTCACTATTCTATTAACTTCTTCTCAATTAATTTAACCACTCTGTTCTGCTACCATGTTGGAAATATCGTCTAAAATAACAAGTCGTCTTGTGGATCAAAAATTAAGTTAATTTAATAGTAAAACTGATAGAATGAAAAACTTAGATTTGTGTATACATCTTACTTCATCAAAATATAACAAACAACTAAACTCTGTTGCCAAGGAAACATCATATGTTCTTTTCTAACATAACTATTATGGACATTATAATATGAATAAATTACATCTTTAACAATTTTCATACATTTTTATAACTTTGACACTACCATCATATTCTCCATTAAATTCTATGTAAGAATAGACAGCTTTTGGTGAGCCCAACACTTCAGAATTGCTATTTAAATTGATATAAGAATTTTTTTTCTCAAAAAAAAGTTTAAAAATAAGCCTACAGACACTTTTTTTTAGAAAAATACTAGAGATTAGCAGATGGCTACAAAAACTGCTCTAAAATTTTAGCTTTTAAAAAATATGATCAAGCATTTTATTTGCTTCCTTTTAAGGACAGCTATTCCAGTTATAACTGTGGAAAACATGGTTTAAGGAAAATAAAAACACACTATAACATCCGTACACATTGCAGCACCTGCGGAAGTGTGCGTTGAAGAACAAATTCTGGACCGAGTTAGTGAAGACCCGGAGATAATTAGCAGAAATCTTGCTAGTGAAATCGGTGCAAGAAAAACTAAAGTTGTATCTTTTTTACACAAAAACAAACTCCATCCTTACCATTTCACAAAAGTTAAAAGCCTTGAACCCAATGATCATGGTGCTAGAGTAGATTTCTGCCGCTACCTCCTGAATTCTGACATTGAAAAATACCACTTTGTCAAAAAGATTTTGTGGACAGATGAAGCTCTTTTTACAAGACAAGTTGTATTCAATTTTCACAATATGCATATGTGGAGCACTGAAAACCCGAAGGCAACTAGAGAAATGTCATTTAAAAAAATATTTACTATAAACGTTTGGGCAGCTGTGATTGGTGATCGCTTCTTAGGTCCCCATATTTTTCAGAGAAGTTTGAGTGGAGAGATGTACCTTGACTTTTTGCAACACGATCTGCCTCAAATTTTGGATGTGAGTAATCCTGTGCTCCGTCAAGATATCATTCATCAACAAGACGGAGCACCTCCTCATCCTACGAATGACACTTGAGATTGGCAGAGTGCTAACCATCCCACGTGGATAGACCGAGGAGGTCCAGTGCCCTGGCCCGCAAGATCTCCTGATCTGAACCCCATGGATTTCTTTGTGTGGGGATACATAAAGTCTGAAGTCTACGCAACTCCAGTCAATAGCGAAGAAGAACTTCTAAACAAGATCCAAATCGCAGCACAGGCAGTAGGAGATAAGCTAAGCCATAAAGTGACTGTTGTAGAAATGTGGAAGAGAGTTAGAGAGGACATTTTGAAAATAAATTAAAATGAACTAACGTAGCGTTTTAGTTTGGTTATCAATCCAATACTTGGAATTTGTTTTGGACTTGTCTAGATATAAATGTTGTTGCAGCCTCATGCTGTATCTTTAATAATAAAAACTATCATGTGTGTCTTTTTGGTTTGTTATATATATATATATTTTTTTTCCCCTTAAACCATGTTTTCCACAGTTATAACTGGAATAGCTGTACTTAAAAGGAAGCAAATAAAATGCTTACTCATATTTTTTTTAAAGCTAAGATTTTAGAGCAGTTTTTGTAGCCATCTGTTAATCTCTAGTATTTTTCTTAAAAAAAGTGTCTGTAGGCTTATTTTTAACCTTTTTTTGGGAAAATAAAAATTTCTTATTTCTAATCAATTTAAATAGCAATTCTGAAGTGTTGGGCTCATCAAAAGCTGTCTATTCTTACATAGAATTTAATGGAGAATATGATGGTAGTGACAAAGTTATAAAAATTTATGATAATACTAGAGGAATTTTAAAATGTTGTGTAAGTGTACAGGGTTTTCTATAAAAATCAAAATAATGTTTCTGCAAGTGGGTGTATGGAATATATTTTTTTTTAATTGTGGATTTGAGTCACACTTGTGTTGCTCTACCACCCGAAAAAATTTTTAACGCTAGGTCCAGACCACTCTGTATTTACAACATTTGAAGAAAATCGTTGGAGCCGTTTTCGAGATCTTGGTGCTGGCATACATACATACATACAAGCAAACATTGTTCATTTTAGAGTATAGAATTAGTTTAACAAGTACTTAGGTTTGCTGCAAAAGGGCGGGTAAAAAAGTGTTTGTTGTTATAAAATGTTAATACTGTAGTTTAGTAAGAAATGAATGTATTTTCCAAATTTGATCAAAATATGTCCGTAAACAAGCAAATTTCAATAATTGACTGATTCTCCATAAGAATAACATGGGAAATTCAAATTTAATTTTTTTAAATTTTCTCCGTAACCGTTAGGCGCATAATAACGCTTCAATATACTAAATTATTTGTTTTTTTAATTTCTACAAAATGGTTTAAAACAAATTGTGAAATTTTGTGTTTGTAGGGTCAATAATTGGAAAACCCTATTTTTACACCCTAAAACCCCCCATAAACCGATGTTCCCATAGTCCGATCATGCTGGTTCACGAACTCATTCGAATAAATGTATTTTAGGTTTACACGTTTGTACCAAATTTCATCAAAATCAGATAATTTTTGCTCGAGTTATCGTGCTAACAGACATCTATAGGTGTTCACGTAATAGGACGGATTTGAACGGATGGTGTTTTTGACCTCAAAACAAAAAAGTAAATCGGTCCAGGTTTTACCATGAGTACTACGGTAATAGCTTATTCCCTATATGGGAAATTTGCTAACGGGTGAAATGGGAGGTTTTTGGACAGTTGGACACAGATATAGACATTAATAATGGCTTTAGAAAGTCAGTAAACCGCTTTTAGGAGTATATGGCTGTAGTCTACAGTCAAGGCAACACTAAATAAACAGGCCGTAATGCTCCTCTGGCATGACGTCATCATCGGCGACGGCAATGACGTAATGTTTGCCGTGTTGCTGTGATCAGCTGCTTGTTTTAATTTTTTCTTGGAAAACACAAATACAACAAAAAAAATAACATTACGTCATTGTCGTCGTCTATGATGACGACATGCCCGAGGAGCATTACGGCCTGTTTATTTAGTGTTGCCTTGCTACAGTGAGTTTTGAAATTCATGAATGCAATTGTCATTTTTTAAATTTCTACTTGCTCATGACAAACAACAGGTAAAATTTGAGTAGCCTACATGAACAATTGGGCACAGTTTTAGGTGTTAAAAATGGCTTTAGAAAGTCCAAAACGGCTTTGAAAATTAAAAATTTTCACTCGGGAGGACCCCCATGCTTTATGTTTCCCTGTACCTCCTCTTTGTCATGTTCCTAAAACTGACACTGGGGACAATCCCTGGCAAATACAATAGAAATTAGATGCTAATTGCCAAAACCGTCCTTAACAAAACAATCGCTATGAACATCTCGTTAAAAGTCTCTCAGTAAGGACTTCTCGGTTCTCTTTTAGAGAATACAAGTGAAATTGTATGTTCATGCCATGCTGAACCGAAACCAAAACAATCACCACGAAGATTAAAAACAAAAACCTCTCGGTAAGTACCTCTTGCCAAGCAAAAATACAATCAAAAGGTCTTGCTTGAGAGGTTCAAACAATCGAAACGTTTTGATTGTAAACATCTTGCAATCACGCATCACTATGACTGACCTTTCTCAGGATGGAACCAGTAAAAGTAGGCCTAACTGTCTGATTATCAGGCGAACACTCAGCTATAATAGTTGTATTTGTAGTAGCCATTGATATAAAACATATTACAAAGACATAGTAGAATATATCATATTCAGCCACAATGGGACCGAGCCCCTGGCATGTTTTTCAGTTGGATAAACTGATGTTTTCTAGGTTTCTAAATTGGATATTTTTCTAATAGGCCTATAAAAATGATAATTAATACCTCATAATAACATTTAATCTTATTTAATAAATGTAGGTTTGTCAAAAGTAGGGAGTGTCGAAGTCTCTTTTGGGAATATTTTTCTTAGAAAAATTAGGTAAGGTTTGTAAAACCAACAGATAAATTGTGAGAATGCTCAAGACGCGATAACTACATATCTGTAAGCCGTGAGGAAATCTTTTAGTAATAGTTTCCTAGAAGTAGCCGAATATCAGGAGTTCTACTGTTTTAAGTGTTGGGACGAGTTGTTACCTATACCTTACAATTAAGTTATTGTTTGATTTAGACCTATATATTGAAGGATGAGATATTTTGGTCAAAACTACAATTACCAAAGTTTTCAGTTTGTGGTTGTTCAATATGTTTCAGAAGAATGTATGCAATTAAAAGTACTAATAGGCCAGACCTAAAGTGTAAAAGTGGCTGTGATTATTATGGTAATGTGCAGTGGGATGGTTACTGCTCAAAATGTCACAGAGAACAGATTCAACAGAAAAAACTGAAGTCTAGTAGTCTTCGGTTAGAAAGGTAAGTTTCTAAAATTTTGGATTTTTTCAGTAAAAAAAAAAGATCAAACTTTTTCCAGGTTGGTGTTAACAAGTTGACATGTAGACTATAATGGAAACTCTAGGCCTGCACATAGAAAAGTAAAATGGGTTATGGTGAAAAAACCCCGCTACAGCAAACCAGCAGACTAAGCGAATTTAAATTTTCCTGGTTGGATCCCCAAAGCAGAACGTTTTTAAACTTCCTGCAACGGAGTTGGAAAAATCCAAAAGTTTTCTGCGGGCTTACCCGGTCCAAGTTGCTTGTAAATGAACCGAGAAATAAATATATATGTATGTTATAAATACATATAAAATAGAAATAAATATGTTTATTTATTTGGAAATAAATAACTTAAGTTTTTAAACGGTTGTATCGGTTCAAATACGCCTACTGTTATTACCGTTTAACATACATAGAATAGAACACACAGGATAGAACATACATTCTCAAATTGAATCGCTATGGTACCCAATTCGGTTATTCTATGCGTTCTTCCTCACGATCAATGCACCGGATATTAAAGTTGAAGCTTTCTTTTATGTAATGCATGACATTTTGTAGCGTTACTGTTTGCAGAACGGGGAACTTTTCTAAAGAAAATAAAGTTGTCGATTTTCTAGGCCTACAGAAATATTTTCTGCAAAAAAAAATTATTAACTTTTTAAGTAACATTTTCTGCAGAAACTTATACAGGTTAATTGTAAGAAAGGGCCACGTGGCCTTAACTTGGCCTGTAAAAAAAATAGTTTTTCATAAAGATAAATACCCCCGCCGCAGCAAACCTGCAGACTAAGCGAATTTCCATTTGACTGATTGGATTTACACTGAAATGTCTACTTAAAAATATAACATTTATTCCCGATTTAAATAGAATTAGTTTAACAAGTACTTAGGTTTGCTGCATCAGGGAGGGTAAAACTGTTTTTTTTTGTAAAATGTTAATAGTTAGTAAGAAATAAAAACATTTTCCAAATTTGATCAAAATATGTTCATAAACAAGCAAACTACAACAGTTTACTCATTCTCCATAAGAAAAACATGGGAATTTTAAATTTACAATTTTTTGGAATTTTCTCCGTAACTCTTAGGCGCATAATAACGCTTCAATATACTAAATTATTTGTTTTTTGAAGCTCTACAAAATGGTTTGGAAATAAATTGCTAAATTTTATGTTTTTTGGGTCAAAAATGGGAAAAACCTATTTTTACCCCATAAAACCCCCCGTAAACACCCGTTCCCATGGTCCGATCATGCTGGATCGCGAACTCGTTCGAATAAACGTAGGTTTACACGTTTGTACTAAAATTCATCAAAATCGGATCATTTTTGCTCGAGTTATCGTGCTGACGGACATATATATATATATATATATATATATATATATATATAAATATATAAATATATAAATATATATATATATATATATGAATTTGAACGGATGATGTTTTTGGCCTCTAGGGACCTCAAAACGAATAAAAAATCGGTCCCGCGTCCAGGTCTTACCATGAGTACTACGGTAAAAAAACGATTAGCGTCTATAAATCAGTTGAGTAGGCTGGCTTTCTGAAGACCTTGCTGTCTCTCTGCGACTATGTCGCACTGTCACCCGTAGTTCTGCTTTGGTGGGTTGAATTTTGACTAGAATATTTCCTTAATATAGAAAGACAAGCAAACTACATCAGTTCAAATTTAACTTATAATCTCCATAAATAAGAAAAACAAAGGAATTTAAAAATTAGGGATTTTGAATTTTCTTCTTAACTATTAGTTGTAGGCCTACAACAGCGCTTCAGTGTGCTAAATTATAGTATTTTTTTTTTTAGTTCTACAAAATAATTTGGAAAGAAATTACAAAATTTTATGTTTTCGGGTCAAAAATAGGATGAATTAATTTTTACTGCGCAGAAACCCCCGTTCCCATTGTCTGATCATGCTGGTTTTACGAACTCGTTTGAATAATTGTAGGCTCACATGTTTGTACCAAATTTCATCAAAATAGGATAATTTTTACTTGAGCTATCGTATAGGTTGAATTTGAACCAACAGTGTGTTTTGCTTCGCTGGGGACATAAGAACAAAAAGTAAATCGGTCCAATGTCTAGGTTTTACCATGAGACCTACGGTAATAGTTTTTTACCTGTATGAGAAATTCACTAAAAATGTAATTTTATAATTTCGACTATTTATTGGAGAGAGCAAAGCAAGGGGATCTAATTGAGATGGGACATTATGCAAATTTTGTAATCTCATCCCTCGATAATGGCTGAACATATCTTAGTCAAACTTACCAAGGTTCTAAATACAATTCCTTTTACATCACATTTTTATTTAAAACTTGTTTTCAGCGAATTTCCCTATAGGGAATCAGCTATTACCGTAGGTGGCATGGTAAGACCTATGCCCGGGACCGATTTACTTTTTCATTTTGATGTCGCCAGAGGCCAACATATATATATATATATATATCGATTTATATATGATATAATTGGATAACAGATTAAGCTAGAGGTGTTTAGGCTCTGCAATAAGTAGACATCTTGATGGCGGAAGTGTGTGTATTCTCTAAGACAGGGCTGCCACATGTACAACAGTAAACATCTCCTCCTTTAGAATAGAACAAAACAATGAAAAATACTTTTACTTCTTAGGACTAAAAGTCAAACGTTTGGGATTCATTACTACTCTACCTCTTGAAGTTACGTAGCCGTCAAAGTTTTTTACAACTTCTCCCTCATCACAAACATCTGTTAGGCCTACACAATTCTCCTTAGAACTAACAGTTGAATTTCTTACATTTACAAAGCTATGTACAGGACTCTTGCATTTTGTTCACCATTACTATCAGCACAACTACTAGGGAACAAATGTACACGATTTCTCCTATAGGTATTACCATTACTGTCACTGATTATGTATGATCTAGGTTCTCTGGCAAGAGTTTTAACGTGAGCAGGACTCCAAGTAGAGTTAGGATACCTTTGAAACATTACAGGTTCACCTACAGATAATTTTCTCAAAGGTTTACTAGACCTATCATAATACCTTTTACTTTTGTGTCTATTGCTAAGCATTTGATTCCTGTAGCTTGGACTAATAGATTTTGGTTTTAGTAACTTTGAGGATATAGGCAAATTAGTTTTAAGTTTTCTGCCCAGTAGGGATTCCGCTGGAGACGGCAAATCACCACGAGGCGCACTTCTTGAATTCAACAACGCCAAATAAGGATCATCATTGCTTACCTGACTTTTAATAAGTAATTGACCGCTCAGCGAAACCATTTGATTTAGGATAGTGTGGACTCGATGTAATGTGACTATCCCACAAAGTAGTAAATTCTTTAAATTGACTACTGCAATATTGCATGACATTATCAGAGATCATTCCATGACTAGCAAAAATTGATTTCAAATTAGTTATCACTTTAGAGCTAGTACTATCAGGCAACAAACTTGTCTCAATAAAGGTTGAAAAATAGTCAACAACTAACAAATACATCTTACTGTTAAACATAAACATATCTGTAGCTACTTTTTCCCACGGCAAGTTAGGAAATTCATGACTATTAAGAGGTTCTTTACACAAAGAATTTCTGTGTTTTTGACACAACATCATTAATTTGACTTGACATACCTGGCCAAAACAATATTTCCATGGCACGCTCTACATCTTTCTATGCTTAAATGACCCTTATGCATCCTAGATAACATGTCTTTTTGCAAAGATTTAGGTACTAACAATTTATCATTCTTGAAAATAACTGCTTTAACACTACTCAGGTCATCCTTGTAAGTCCAAACAGGCTTAAGTGAATCATCTAACTGATGTTTAAAACTGGCCCATCCATTGTGAATATAATCACTCAACTTACACAAAACTGGATCTTTCTCTGTTTCACATTTAAAATTATCAAACTGTTTGTCAGAAATAGGTAGCTCAATTTCAACGTCTAACTCATTGTCATCAAGTGTTATTTGATATATTGGTGTGCTCTAGAAAGCGTGTCTGCTATGTACAAATCTTTACCCGGTTTATAGACTACTTCATACTGTAGTTGTTTTTCTAAACCACGTTTAGCTAATCAATAAAAATCAATTATCTGTTGAAAAATCAAGTTTTAAGTTTCAAGTTCAGGATCTGAAGATGACAATATATTTGTCGAAACGCGCGTAATCCTACTGAATTAACAAAAACCCACAAGGCAGTCTGCAGGTACTGTAACCTTTCATTGATTGTAGACTACATTTAAATTGTATGAATGAACACGTAATAACATACGTTGCAAACGTAAAGGTACTTTATCAAAGGGTTTCTTAAAAATAGACTCGAGTGGCTTATGGTCACTCTCAACATAAACTTCTCGACCATACACAAATGAATGAAACCTTTCACGCCCAAAACATATAGCCAACATTTCAAGTTCAATTTGCGCATAGTTCTTTTGAGCTTGATTTAAACACTTTGATGCATTGGCTATAGGTTTTCCATTTTGCATAACTACTTCACCCCGACTGCAGTACTACTGCAGTATCACGAGAACTATCAACACTTAAGGTCTTGGGTAGGCTAGTATCAAAATAACCTAAAACAGGTGTATCACATAAGGAATTCTTCAATCTTACAAAAGCTTGATTTATAGAATTATTCCACTCCCATACAGTATCAGTTTTCAATAACTTTCTTAACAACAGATTTCTCGGCATAGTTAGGAATAAACTTGGCCAAATAATTGGTCATATACCAAAAAACCTTTCAAGTTCTTTTCCAAAAGTGGGTGGGGACATGTTTCTTATTGCTTTTTTCTTATTAGATTTCTTATTGCCTTAGACGGATCTACTGATACTCCCTTATCACTAAAAACATAGCCTAAGTATTTAATTTGGCTAACGCAAAACGTACATTTTCCTATGTTAAATTTAAATTGAACCCATTATTTCTAACTCGACTAAGTACATCCCGAGCATCTATAACTCTTCTTTGC